AATTTACTTTGCTGTCAATACAAATTGTAATAACTTACTTTGCTGTCAATACAAATTGTAATAAATTACTTTGCTGTCAATACAAATTGTAATAACTTACTTTGCTGTCAATACAAATTGTAATAACTTACTTTGCTATCAATACAAATTGTAATAGCTTACTTTGCTAACAATAAAAAATAAAATATAATAACTTACTTTGACATTAATACAAATTGTAATAACTTACTTTGATATCAATACCAATTGTAATAACTCCTTTGGATATCACTACAAATTGTAATAACGCAAACCTGCTCAATGTCTCTGACGTCCGTTTTCCATGCGCTGCATGTCAAATGGCCACCATGATGACTGTATGAACACCTTGGGGGTCGAAGTTAAGATTCACTACTTTTAACTTCAAGTACATTTGTGGGTACAGAACAACATTAACCTTGTCTAGTAATTATGTTATAATTTTACGAGTCCATTTTTAATTGTAGAATTGTATCCGGAAGGTTTGACGAGAAATTTAAACAAAAACTATTTTGTAAAAAAAAAAAAAAGATTTAAACAACTGCTTCTGTTATTTAACTATCTAATAATCACTTGTCCGATAAATTAAAATAGTCATGCGAATAAAGTTGAAGAATGATTCATTCATGTGATTAAGTTCTTGCATCGCCTGTCATGTTTTTTTGTTTGAACGCTCCACGCTCATATTGACAACGCTGTCACCAGCAATCGAACACCGGAGCTAAGATCACCGTCTGCTAAATGATTGAGCGACAGATGAAATGATATTATCAAGTTTTCCTACGCGTTCGGGTTGCTCAGATTCTTCCAATGTCCTTCACTCGTGCCCTTGTGTCTGGCAGTACTGTTTTTGTTCTTCTTTTCATGCCCTACCAGGCTATACCATGACGTGGTGTGACAATTTCTGGTTTTGCTTTAACCCGACTTTGAATGATAACACGGTCTGGGGGTGTTGACGTTTAAAAGTGTCACGCGTGAATGAGAAGAGTCCCGACAGTGTACTTTCACCGGCCAAAGTTCAGCTTAGTGAGTTCGCTCGTCGACTGTTAGACACATGATCGTATTCGGGGTCACGATTTAAAGACAATGGTCTTGTTTTAATAAGCGACCTTTATTTAAACATTTTTAAAAGGAGAAAGTAAACTCCCTTTGATTAAGGAGATGAAATAAAGTAAAACTCCCTTTGATTAAAGAGGTGAAAGAAGTAAACTCCCTTTGATTAAGGAGATGAAATAAAGTAAGCTCCCTTTGATTAAGGAGATGAAATAAAGTAAAACTCCCTTTGATTAAAGAGGTGAAAGAAGTAAACTCCCTTTGATTAAGGAGATGAAATAAAGTAAGCTCCCTTTGATTAAGGAGATGAAATAAAGTAAACTACACTTGATTAAGGAGGTAAATTAAAGTAAACTCCCTTTGATTAAGGAGATGAAATAAAGTAAACTCCCTTTGATTAAGGAGGTGAAATAAAGTAAACTCCCCTTGATTAAGGAGATAAAATAAAGTAAACTCCCTTTGATTAAGGAGATAAAATAAGGTAAACTCCCTTTGATTAAGGAGATGAAATAAAATAAACTCCCTTTGATTAAGGAGGTGAAATACAGTAAACTCCCTTTGATTAAGAAGGTAAATTAAATTAAACTTCTTATGATTAAGGAGATGAAATAAAGTAAACTCACATTTTTAGGGAGTTGTTCATCCAAACCAGAATATAAAATGATAATGAAAGATAATTAATTGAAAGTAATAATATTTCATTTTCATCCGTCCTTACTCCTAGACTCATTTATCACTCCTGGACTAATTCCCTATCTTAGACTTCTTCCATATCTTAGACTCTACCTACTCCTAGACTCCTTTCTTATTGAAGACTCCTTACCTATCTTAGACTTCTTCCATATCTTATATTCCATCCCTATCTAAGATTCCATACCTATCTTAGACTCATTCCATATCTTTGACTCCTTACCTAGTCCTAGAATCCTTCCATATCTTAGACACCTTCCTTTTCTTAGACTCCTTACCTAATCCTAGACTCATTCCCGACTCCTAGACCATTTACCTACTCCTAGACTCCTTCCTTATTTAAGACCCCTTACCTTCTCCTAGATTCCATACCTACTTATAGACGCCTTCCCTATCTTAGACTCCTTACCTACTCCCAGACCCCTTCCCTATCATAGACTCCTCCCCTACTCCTAGACTCTTTCTCTACTCTTAGACTCATTCCCTATCATAGACTCCTCCCCTACTCCTATACTCCTCCTCTACCCATAGTTTAGTTTGTTTTTAAAGATCTTTTAGTTTGTTCCTAAAGAACATTTAGTTTCCTGTTAAATATCGCTTAGTTTATTCTTATAAATCATTAAGTTTACAATTAAAGATAATTTGTTTTGTTGTTAAAGAACGTTTAGTTCGTTCTTAAAAATCGCTTAGTTTGTTCTTTAAGATCGTTTAGTTTTTTTTTTATTAAAGATCGCTTAAATTGTTCTTAAAGATCGCTTAGTTTGTTCTTAAAGATAAATGATTTTGTTTCTTAAGATCGATTAGTTTGTTCTAAAGATCTTTTAGTTTGTTCGCAAAAATCGCTTAATTTCTTCTTAAAGATCACTTATTTGTTTTTACAGATCATTCGTTTGTTCTTAAAGATAGTTTAGTTTGTTCTTAAGTGGCTGAACAAATTGGTGGGTAACCCGTCTTTAAGCCGTTAAATGACAGTAGACACCAAACCAGCAGGTTAAGTGTAGGCAGGTCCAAAGAGTAGAGCGGCGGCGAAGAGTGAACTTCGCATCCCTTAAAAATGACCTGATTAAAGTGTGGCATGCAGAGGTCCGTGACAATGTTTCTATTTTTATTTTAAAGTGTACAGGATTTAAGTTTCTGTCAATATTCACTTCCCTGTTGAAGACGGCAAGGTTCTCTGATCAGAAATGGTTCGAATAGTATTGACAGCTTTTCGAACATTATATTTCAAACCTAGCTAAGATTGATGTAGGTCTTTAGTTTAGAAACATATCCATTAATGACGGCCATTCACATGACATACTTTGGGGAAAACGCCATTCATGCGGCCCACCCGCCTCTTAATATCTGAATCCAGTGAAGAAGACTTGCATTGTTTTCAATTCAAAGTGTTTCTCACATTATTTGCACAGAACTCATTTCAATTGACACTTTTCTTTATACATGTTTTTTTTTTGGTTTGTTTTATGGTAAACAATTTTTTGTTGGTTTCATGTAAGGAAATTCTTATTTTTTTTATTGGAACAGACCATTTTATTCTAAATTCAACAGCTTGTAAACTGCATTATGATTTTTTTTCGGAAAAGTCTCCCTCATCTAATATTTCTCTTTAGATTTTAAAAAAAAATTAACACTAAATATTTTGTAAACTCCAGACCATGGGTCTATATCAGTGATCTTAACCAGGAGCTCGCGCGCCCACTTAGTGAACGGGAGGCAATACCAGAGAATATCAAATGACCACACAAAACTGCCCCCACCCCCCCAAAAAAAAAATCTGAAAAAAGTTGACCAAAAAAAAATTAAACAACCGAACAAATAAATAGCTATAAAATTCGATGTGATTTTATTGTTCATAAGTTAATAGTTTTTGTAAACTTATCTCATCTATGTCATTTAAGATGGATGTATTCAACAAAAATCAAAAATACAAAACTCGAAGATCCAAAAGGCCGATCGATCCATTATTTAAAGCGCTTTATTACACCCATCACCTATGGCGTCTACAGTTATGATATCATTTTTATCCCAGGAGGGGATTGTAGGAAATTTTTTGATATCATATTTTACCCATCGAGGGTATTGTGGACATGTTTTGAAATGGAGACGGGGATGCTGCTCAGGAAATTTTTTTTTGAGAACCCCTCATCTACATTAAAAAAAAAAAACGAAAAAAAAAACGTTTTGTAGTTGGAGTTCTGACTTTGAAGTAGATTTGACTGAAATGTGTACTTTAAATCTCTTTCATTTTTATCCCAGGGGGGGATTGTAGAAAATTTTTTGATATCATATTTTACCCATCGAGGGTATTGTGGACATGTTTTGAAATGGAGACGGGGATGCTGCTAAGGAAATTTTTTTTTGAGAACCCCTCATCTAAATTAAAAAAAAAAAACGAAAAAAAAAACGTTTTGTAGTTGGAGTTCTGACTTTGAAGTAGATTTGACTGAAATGTGTACTTTAAATCTCTTCATCAGTTTCAACTCGTCCAGATGTAATGTTTGGTTTCGGTCTTGTGTGTGTTAGTGTTTGAGACTAAACTTCAAATCGTTGCTCACTGGAGACTGAGAGCATCATAACGTTTAACCCGATCAGAGACGGTAAGATATTTTTTTTTTAATGTTGAAAATTATTTATAGAATAAGAAAATTTAAAGTATATTATGTTAACTAATAAACTTGGATGTAGACTTACATTTAAAAAGAATAATTAACAATTGTTTGAACAAAAAGAAAAAAAAAATAATTGAATTTTGCACCGAACAAGTATAATAAAAACTACTCATCAATTATGAAAATATTTAACGGTTCATTAATAATATTTTTTTAAAATAAAATAGATCGATACATAAGAAAAAACCCTAGTCAGAACAAGGACAGGGGCTAAGCTGATTATTTTAAGAACCACTTTCGTATGATTAACAAGGAAAGTAACTGAAATTCGATGTTTATATTAAAATGTAACCTTAACGCTTCACGATCACTCATAAGAGAATAGAAATTGCGTTGTGAAAAGTATTTAGGATTTAAAAGAAAATTTCAAGCATTTTCGTTTTATCACTTTGCGTTAGTAATGGGTTTGTATTTCACCACATCCACAGACACAAGCGTTCAGCGACAATGTTAGCGTTGCTCAATATTATTTTGATGGCTTGTCTGATCGTGAATGACGCCAACTCTGATGATAAAACCGCACACTACTACGACATCCAATTAAAAAACACAAAAGGTTCTCATGGCAAATCATCTTTGGCTGATTATTCCAATCAGAGGGGTGACTATGACGTGGGTCCTCAAGGCGGTCTCTCCGTCTCTGAATTTTCCGCAGCCACCAAACACAACCAGAAGGCCGCCTGTGACGTCACAGAACACACAGCTAACTGCACGTTCAGAAATCTGACCAACGTCCCGAACTCGACTCAGTTTCCGGCATCTCTGACTTGGCTTGACCTACATAATAATTCAATAAATGCGCTGATGGACTTTGCGTTTTCCACTTTAATGAATCTAGAATGGCTTGATCTGTCCCGAAACATCATTGTTTCCTTAAGCGACGGGTCATTCTCAGGCTTGGCGAGGCTGAAGACATTGAATCTAAGTTTCAATAGTTTGACCATGAAGGACCTAACATTCCCTCAAGGCGTGTTCATACCGTTGAAGTCGCTCAAAGTTTTAAGACTCAATAAAAATAATCTTGGCATTAAAAATGGCACGGGTCTTAATTACCCCGACAGAGCCCTGTCAGCACTGGCCAACCTGACCTATTTATCCTTGGACGGGATACCGAACAACACGTTTGGGCCAGGGTTTCAGAACATGACGTCTCTCAGAAACCTGTCGCTGACAGACTACTTAGAAGGCGATTGCCACATGTGGTCGCTGTACAACACAACTTTCGTCAACCTGAGCAACCTTGAATATCTACATCTGGCAGACTGCTTTATCAAAGGACTTTTGATAGAACCCGGGGCCTTCTCCCCTTTAAGAAAGCTCTATTTTCTTGACCTCACACACAACGAAGACATAGATGTTCAACATTTGGCAAACGTTTTCTATGGACTCAAGGATACAACAACTTTAAAGATACTCAAAATGGAGTTGGTCGTAAACAGGTATTCGCTAGGCATTTGTTTAGAGAGTAGGTACATTAACCATTTCCCACAACACCTGGAAGAGTTCCACGCATCTGAAAACAACCTCGAGGCCGTCGACAGGCAAGTCATTCCAATGCTGTCTCCGTCCCTAAAAAAGCTAAACGTCACCGGGAATAAGTTTGTTTTCGGGACATATCTGCAAGACCTTCGATTGATGGCGAATTTAACTGAAATCGATTTGAGCGGGGGCAGTTTTACATACAATTTACCATCGCAATATCCATTTCAGATCCCAAAGTATGACGCCACAAACAGCTGTTCACTTTACCAAAAGACCCTCGAAGACGCTCATAAAAATCCATTTGTGTTTAATTTACCACCGAATTTGAAATCGATCAAGATGAACAAAGCTGGTCTTCGTTACACTCTCTCTGGCCTAAGAGTCGGAAAAAATTCCCTTGAGAGATTAAGTCTGAAGGGAAACTATTTCCCTCATCTTCAAGGGCCACTCTATGGGTTTGATAGGCTCCAGTATTTGGATCTTTCTTCAAGCTTTATTAAACGGATTGAACCTGACTTCTTTGTGACCTTGACGTCATTGAAATACTTGACCCTGAGCCGCAATCAACTTGGAAACAATCTGGCGGACGACGCAAGCTCGGCAAAAGTGTTCTCCCCTTTGACCAATCTTCAGCTCCTGAATCTGTCCTTCAACGCCTTAACGAATCTGCCTCCAAACATTTTCAGAAATCTTACAAGCCTAAGGGTACTTTCGCTGGAGAAGAACTCATTGATCGATTTCATTATCGACCTATCCAGCTTGAAAAAATTGCAGTACTTGGATTTGAAAGAGACGCGGATAGCTTCGCTTGGTGCGGAGACACGAAGACAAATCGACGCTTTGGTTCAAATGAACATTTCCGTGAACATGCAGCGGAACCCGATCCTTTGCGATTGCTCGAATCAGCAATTTCTTGAATGGATGACCTCATCAGAAGCGTTCAACTAGGCATTCGACGACTACAACTGTGTCTATGAAGACTCCTCCCATAGACAAGTCAACGACAGCTACGTCAGTGTTTTGATACAACTTGACCGCACGTGCACAACTCACGTGACGTTGTTTCTTATGGTAGGCGGGGCGACTGTTGCTGTGTTTTGTTTCATTGCGTTCGCTGTCCTTTATCGATTCCGGTGGAAAATCCGATACATGTATTACGCCGCCTATTTGCATTACAAGAAATCCAGCAGAGGTGGTAGCACTAAGGATTACCGGTACGATGCGTTCGTTTCGTACGATCACGGTGATACGAAGTTTGTACTACGCAAGCTTGAGCCAGAGCTCGCAAGCCGAGGTCTCAAGCTCTGCCTACACGGCAGGGATTTCTTGACGGGAGATTACATCGCTTCGAACATCATCAGGGCGGTGCGTCACAGCAGGAAGACGGTTGTCGTCCTGACACGCAACATGATGCGGAGCTACTGGTGCGGCTACGAGATCCAGATGGCCAACATGGAGAGCATCCACACGGGCAGACAGGTGCTCGTCTTCCTGCTCATGGAGAAGATACCCACGAGCGACCTCGGCGTGGAGCTGCTCTACAACATACGGAACAACACGTACATCGCCTTCCCCAAGAATGACCTTGATAATGGAAGTTTTAATATTTTTTGGGAAAAATTTGCCAATGACATCAAGGAATAAACATATAACAATGAAACAAGGATTTGATTTAGGAAATTTTGAAAATTGTCTATGCGTACTCCGTCCATCATGAATATCATATGCAAAAATAACAACAGAAATAGACACTCTGCTCTACACACGACATACAATAATCTCTAAATGAATGTGTTTATGGTTCAGCTACGTTGGAAAATTATCTCTAAATGAATGTGTTAAGCTGCGAAACATAAATAAAACAGAGTTTTGTAAATTGCAAGTCTCGTCACAATGGTTGGATCGTGACAAGTTAGACAACCTAATGACCACTCAAACAAATATGGTTCGAAACGAAACAGAAGGTGGGGAATGACACGTAATATAAATGTTGGCTGACTCGCGAACTTGAGAATGGATGGGCTATGAAGTCCCATTTTTTTCATCCATTATCCCTGTGTCGTCACTCACCCCTGTGTCATCACTCACCCCTGTGTCGTCACTCACCTCTGTGTCGTCACTCACCCCTGTGTCGTCACTCACCCCTGTGTCGTCACTCACCCCTGTGTCGTCACTCACTCTTGTGTCATCACTCACCCCTGTGTCGTCACTCACCACTGTGTCGTCACTCACCCCTGTGTCGTTCTTCACCCCTGTGTCGTCACTCACCCCTTTGTCGTCACTCACCCCTGGTCGTCCCTCCCCCCTGTGTCGTCCCTCACCCCTGTGTCGTCACTCACCCCTCTGTCGTCCCTCACCCCTGTGTCGTCACTCACTCCTGTGTCGTCACTCACCCTTGTGTCGTCCCTCACCCCTGTGTTGTCACTCACCCTTGTGTATACCTCACCTCTGTGTCGTCCCTCANTCACTCACCTCTGTGTCGTCACTCACCCCTGTGTCGTCACTCACCCCTGTGTCGTCACTCACCCCTGTGTCGTCACTCACTCTTGTGTCATCACTCACCCCTGTGTCGTCACTCACCACTGTGTCGTCACTCATCCCTGTGTCCTTCCTCACCCCTGTGTCGTCCCTCACCCCTTTGTCATTCCTCACCCCTGTGTCGTCACTCACCCCTGTGTCATCCCTCACCTCTGTGTCGTTCCTCACCCCTGTGCCATCCCTCACCTCTGTGTCGTCCCTCACCCCTGTGTCGTCACTCACCCCTGTGTCGCTCTTCACCACCGTGTCATCGCTCACCCATGTGACGTTTATCATCCCTGTGTCATCCCTCACCCCTGTGTCGTCACTCATCCCTGTGTCATCCCTCACCCCTGTGTCATCCCTACCCATGTTTCATCCCTCACCCCTGTGTCGTCACTCACCGCTGTGTCATCCCTAACCCCCTGTCGATCCTAACCCCTCAACATAGCTGTTAGAAGATTGGGACAACATAACTGGTAGAAGTGTGGGATATCGCGGCTGGTAGAAGAGTAACTGTCCCATCTTTAATAAGACATGTTATCTCTTTAAAGAATCATTAAATCTCAGACAAATATAATAGCACTTTTTCATGAATTGAATTTTTGCGCAAATTGGGAAAACGATTATTGCACGCACATGAAATAACGGCAAAATCTCTATTTCCTCAGCTAAAGAAAGTATTATCCAATGTATTTCCTTTTTTTTTCAACTTCATTGAATTTTTCGGTGAGAGTGCACTTGTGTAAATGTGCTCTCAATGTGTCAACGTCAATGAACTGTATTTTCCAACATTAGTAAAACACATATTTATTTCTTTAAAAAAAATATACACATTATTTTTTTCACGACTGAAATAGTAATATCATTGGAAATAAAGATGTTATCCACAAACAAAATGTCCACACCTTTTATCTCTCCCAAAAATGTATTTTATGATGAAAGTTATAAATATCTTTTTCATTATTTTTTTATACCATTTATATACCAATCTCCGTGTAACAAGGTCGTGTATTTTTTTTTTTGCTTTGAGATATTGCTAAGGTTACAAAATAAGCCCACCCACAATGTGTCCTGTCCTGTCCTCTCTGGTTCTGTCCTGTCCAGTGCTGTTCTATTCTGTCCTGTCCTGTTCTGCCTGGAGAAAACTCAAAAAAAAAAAAAAAAAAAAAAAAAAAAAAAAAAAAACCAAAAAAAAAAAAAAAAAAAAAAAAAAAAAAAAAAATCGGAGCCAACTCTCGGAAGGGAAACAACTGCAAATATGGTAATTTAACCACCACACCATGGTAATGAATATTATAGTATTACTTGTTTCCCTTCACTGGCCTGAAACCAACCTTAAATTATTTTATCCTTTCAAAGATTATATAACAGCAAAACTGGGATAGGACATCATAAAATGATATATATATATATATATATATACATTTTATATCAACATGAGATCATATATTATAATTTAAAAACCAAAATCAGTGTTGGTTGAATCTATTAAGTTTAATTAAAGTTACGAAGACATATACACCATTTGTACCCTGAGGCAGACCCGAAGAAAGACAATACACAAAAAGTGAACGTTTCGACCATGAATCCATCAACAGTACCACTACGGAGATAGACACTCTCATCCCGGAACACATGTACTTGACCGGGAGTGCCAATTGTTAAAAAAACAAAGCCAGGATAACTTTGGACAACGGACGATTTATTTTGTCTGACTTGACATACAACATATTACGCTGTTTGTTTGTATAAATCTAATTTTAATTGTAGATTTCTGATTAAAAAAAGAAACATGTCTTAAAGAGATAAAAATTAATTATTTGAATTTTTTTTAATAAAGAAAAAAGAACATACATAATTGTACTTTTAATAGGTTTTGAAGTTCCCCCCGCCCCCCCCCCAAAAAAAAATTGCACCCTTCCAGCGGTGAAGCTAGGGTTGGTGTCACCCTGTGTATGTAAACTCATGGTGTCACCCGGTGTAGTAAACTCATGGTGTCACCCGATGTAGTAAACTCATGGTGTCACCCGGTGTAGTAAACTCATTGTGTCACCCGGTGTAGTAAACTCATGGTGTGACCCCCCCCCTGTCCTCCCGACTTCCACGATAGATTTCTTCTCATCAAAATAAGTCCACAGTATAACAATCACAAGAACAACAACTAATTAATTGAAAGTCAGAAGGCAAATGTGTTTATGAACTGTAACAACGTTAAGTTATAGCTAATATTACATTAAATTTACTTGAAAAAAAAATCTATTGCTTGGTCATCAGAGCTGCAAACATGTCAATCGCTTGATCAAAAGTAATATACTTCACTGTATCACTTTTAATTGAGAGTAGAGCCACATCAGTACCTTTGACTGTCCCATGGTGGATTGTAAATGGCTCTCCGGCCATTCCCTTCTTCAACCTAAATCTACCGTAATGCCAAATTGATCTGAGTTTAAAAGTGCATTTTCAATAGCATGTTCCACCAAGTGACAGCAATTCTCGTGCAGAAACAATCTCAAGGCCTCTAGGTTGGTCACCACATTTTCAACGGTAAAGCTTTTAGTCTTCAGATACTGCTGTGCAAGATTAACTTCTTGATGAGATTAGCCCAAATTTTGAGGTAGCATATAAACGTGACCTCACAAACAGCATGTAAAAGAACTTGTGCTGTATAACAATCGTGCTCAAATGTTGAGGGGCGGTGCCAGTGACAAATCGCTGAATATATTTATTGTTCAGTAATTTTGGGTTTCGATACATTTGTTTAAAAAAAAAAAAATAACTTTTTTTTTAATTACAAAAAAAGTTTAAATAACTTTTAAAAGATATTGGAAAATTTTGTAAAATATTATTTTGTTAATCCTATGCATGGGTAAAAAGTAATTTTTTTTAAAATTACTTATATTAAATCAGTTTTTGTTCGTCGCTGGCTGGTGGACTGTAAAAATCTTGGCACGGCTCATTGAACCACTAACACTTCCGTCACATAGACTCTTTGCCAATGACAACACATGCTATTAAATTTTCAGCCCAATCCCCTTAATCAGTTTTTCCTGTTTTTCTAAGACAGGTTGATGGAATGATGATGACACTGCTGTCCCGAAATAAAACTCCCGCTAAAAGAGATTCTTAAAACAAAAATATATCGCAAGTGTGTTTGGTGCGTAATATTTTATTTTGTTTTCTAGGTGGTGAAACAAATCTGGGGGTGCAAAAGCGGGGGGAACATTAATGTAGATTGAGATTCTTATAAAGTGCCTTACTTGAATGTACGTTTTGTCAAATTTTAAGCCATTGCTCCATATTACTTACTTACCTATGCCTTTTACCCCTTCTGAGGCATAGGCAGTCCACAAGAGTTCTTCATTCTTCTTGGTCCTGTGCTTTACTTTCAAGTCTACATCTAGCCCGCGTCTCAATCTATTCCTTATATAGGGGGAGTTCGATTCGATGGACTGTCCTATGGTGATTCTTGGTGTTGCAATTTGATCTGTGCATGTTCTGTTTTGGCGGAGGCAAGCCTGTTGATCTCGATGCTTCCTAGCCGATCTTGTCTTTTACTCTATTCAAATTAATTCTATTAAAAACCATACCTGGTACAGACAGCAGCTAAGTGTAACTCCTCTGTAGTTTGCACAGCTGCTGTGATCCCCTTTTTCTTTGGTATCTTGATGAGGTATCTTTTTTTGCAATTTTTTGAATTTCTCTTCTTCCCATATCTTCTCTATTGCCCGATATTACATTTTAATAAGGATTTATACCAAGTAAATTATCTTTAGGGGTTAATTTAATGGTTTTAATTTGTTACCGATTCCATTGATGTACCTAGAATCTCCCGATCACAGTACATAGCATCGCCCGACCACATCGTATTTGATACCAAAGGAAGCTTTACTCTCAGAATTTAGATTAAGATCGATTCCTGTCACTTACCAAAACTACCGAACACTTCACTCGGCGTTGAATCATGTTCAAAACGGTGTTTTTCTGACCAAACTATCGGGTCAGTGCATTTTGGCGCATCAACCTTGAACTTTTAAATAAAGCACGCATTTGGAGTGGGGAAATGCGTGGGAAATGTACGTGTGATCGTTTATTCGTTTTATTTTATGAAATTCGGTCAG